ATAAACGTCCTTAAAATATATTTTTGTATTTATTTATGGTAGTACACTAAAATTAAACCTTCTCATGCTGCTGTCCTTGCATGTGTGTGCATATGTGTGGTTCCCAGGCCAGGAGTATAACTTCCTCAAGATGGAGCCAGGGGAGGTCAACTCTCTTGGGGAGCCATATGATTTTGATAGCATCATGCACTATGCCAGGAACACCTTCTCACGGTAACCAGCGGGACAATCTCATCTCTTGACTTGTGTTGAATTTACAAAACAGATCAGAAAAAAACGAGCTGCCAAAACAGATGTTTCTCAACTTTAACATCTGCTTTGTAATTTTGTGAAACAGTGACCTTGATGGTTTTTGACGGTTTCTCTGTGTCGATCCTGTTGTTTAGTGTTTATAGTGGGGTGGAGCTCATAGTTAGAGCTACCTCCGACCAACTTTCATCACCCAGGGCAAGTAAAGGCTGCAACATCTTAAAAATTAATATAGAAAGAATTTTCCTTTTACTTTGCACAGTTAGAAACTACAAACATTTTAACATCAACTGTATTCATCATCATTATTGTTTAGCTGTGCATGACAATCAATCCACTTTTACAAAGTGATGTAAATGACAACACATAACGAAACAGAGCAGGGATATTGGCCAGAGGCAGTACTAAAGGGGATGTAGTTTGTTATAGTTCAGTTCAGCTTTACATGTAAACCACACAAAATGTAAGTATTTATACTGGAATACAAGAAATACTATAGAAGCTAAAGATATGTCCCAGTCAGGTTTATTAAGTTATAGCAGAGTTTTCCAATATCTTCTTGTGACCCCTTGACACTAGTAGTTGTCTTCTGGTTCTAACCAGTCCAAATAGAAACTTTATGTTGGTGGCTATGACCAATAGTTTTGTAGAAACAATGTGAAAGGGTTCACTCATAGTCATGAACCTACAGAGTATTATCACCTCAATATGCAGCTCCACGCAGCTTTATGGAGCTTTATACTGAGTTTCAGCTCATTGTTAAGTCCGGCTGCAACTTCACTGTTCTGGATCAGTCTCACTGAACACTTTTTGGCCACAGCAGGCAGCTTTTTTCAGCAAAAACGCTTTAAAAATTCACTGTACACTACCTGCTCAGCACCAAACAGCCGCAGTTATCAAATATCTGGTGAACACTGTAGCATTTTGCAGCTAAAGAGTCAGATATTTCCCTAGTGGAGAAGAAAAACAGAGTGAATATTGGACTTTTATTCATATAGTGGCCAGAAAAAATTACTCCAAATGACTGATGATGTTGCTCCGTAACTACTGGATGTGTAAATAAGCAACTGTTTGCCATATCAACTCAAAAGGTGATTATATGTCAATGCTAAAATTATCCAGTAATTCACGAAAAGGCAAAACATTATCAGTGCAGTGAAACAAATGGAAGCTTTTCAGCATCATGAAATCCCCAGTTATTTTGCAGTGAGAGCCGTCACAGGTTCACTTGCAATGAGAGGATAGAACTTAATCTCCGACCTATCTAATCTCATAACCCCTCCTATTCCCCAGTCAGCTCCAACCCACACATTAGAAGGAAATATTGGTGTTGCAATCAGTTACATATTAGTTATTTTACTGTTTTGAAGATACGTGTGTGTGTCTTTCATCTGATTTCCTTGAAATCAGAGCATGGTGTGTGTTAAATCTCTGTTTTCCTCCCTTAAGGGGAATGTTCCTTGACACCATCCTTCCATCCAGAGATGAAAATGGGGTCCGGCCTGCTATCGGCCAGCGGACCAGGCTCAGTAAAGGAGACATAGCACAGGCAAGGAAGCTGTATAGATGTCCAGGTACTGACATATTTACTATGAGAACACAGTGTGTATGGGTGTGTGTGTGTGTATGTGTGTTTGTTGAAACAAAAAATGACCTCTGTGTATCTGCTCGTGTCTTTGGCGTAACATTTTCACACCCGTCCACTCTCCAGGGCACGGGGATAAAGTTGAGTAATTTGTTTTTCCATGTGTTTCGCTGTTTTCACGTCTCACACACATCACATACACACTCTTCCCATGAGTTCTTGCGCACACCCGTGCCGTTCTGGCGTTCCTTCGGTCCCTGTTGTATGGTGCTGACGTGATCTGGCTTTGGATCAAGCCGAGCTATGCAGTAATGTCGCAAAGGTTTACGATTGAAAGTGTTGCCATCCCTTTTTGGCCCACACACAGACTCATGAGTTCACACTTTAGGTCATCATGTACGCATGATGTACTGTATCTGAGACAAACAGATTAAATAATATTTGTCATCAGTCTGTTCTACTTAAATTCACCAAAACCTCTGTTTCTCTGTGTTTTTGTGTGTGTATTTATTCATTTTGACTGAATTTCTTTGGTTATATTTCCATTTAACTGACAATATACAAGTATGGCCTTTAGTTTATTTGTTCACATTAATAACGCCACATATATTACAGTATATAATCAACTAAATCCATTTTGATACTGGAAAGAGAACAAGAGTGTGTTTGTGCGTCCCAGCTGGAAATAGATACAACTTCAACCTTATAAGGTCATATTTGAGTGATACCATATTCACTGACAGATGAACAGAGCCCCAGGGCATTGTGGGGGAGAACAGCATGCATGATGGGATAGGAGGGGCACATTTGGCTAACCTCCTTTTCAGAAGGAACGACAACGTTAAACTCTGAATGAAAAATAAAGAGCAATATTGTCTGATAATTTTCCACGAATTCCCATCCAGTCACTCTTGTTCACTTGCAATAAATGACTCCACTACTGGGGAATGTTTAATTCGGCTAAACAGTGACGAGGCTTAATGACTGTGGTCTGACCTCACATGTATACTGATACACAAAGGAATACAAACACACATAGTGCCGCCTCCAACATGCAAAATTAAAACAAGCCAAAGCCAACATGAAACAAAAGTTTTGTTTTGGAGCCTAATTTTAATTCCTTTACTGGTTTCTGAATCAGAAATAACAGTTTCCATATGGACAGATCAGATATTATAGACATAAACTTTGTGTATGAGGCTGTTGTGTTGACAAAATAATCTGTAGTATATTTATTTTGGTAAATTGGCAGTAAAAGATTGAGAATAATAAGAGATATGAGAGCCATGTGTTCTTTAGTAATGTACCGATCATAAGTATCAGTATGCAGCTGAAAGTATTATGCACAACAGCAGGACTCGCCACAAAAATTTAACTCTCTCTCTCTCTCTCTCTGTGTGTGTGTGTGTGTCTGTGTGTTGCAGCATGCGGAGAGACGCTCCAAGAGTCAACAGGCAACTTCTCGTCTCCTGGTTACCCCAACGGATACCCTTCATACACACACTGTGTCTGGAGAATATCTGTTACACCCGGAGAAAAGGTGCACACACACACACACACACACACACACACACACACCTACGCAGACACTCACACACACACTCGAACACACGCAGTAGCACCCTGCAGTGCAGTGAATGTGCATATAATAACAGGAGACTGCTGACAGACTGACTGTATATTGATTATATCCTAACACTACAGGTCCCACCCTCTTCCTCTTTTCTTCCTCTCATCGTCTGGTCATCTGAAGTACAAACATCTGTCTTAAATATATTAACCATTTACCTTTGCTCCTCCAGATCGTTCTTAACTTCACCACCATGGATCTGTATAAAAGCAGTCTGTGTTGGTATGACTACATTGAGGTTCGGGATGGATACTGGAGGAAAGCTCCACTGCTCGGTAAGATCAAGGCACAGTCAGCCGGGGGTGAGCTGGTTGCCCTTTAACAAAATGGCATGACATTTGTGCCTTTTCATATTTTCTTGTTCCTTTATTAGCTTTTTTTTTAATTCTACTGAAATCACCTTAAATCTTTAAGACTGCTGTGACTGTAAGGTACGGTGGCCCTGAGAGCTCAAAGCACTCCAACTTAAAGGTGGGGTCAGTCATTCTGGAGACAGATTCACAGTTAAGTCTCACCCAGGCCGTCAAATACCTACGCTTTGAGTTATGGTTAATGGAAAAAGAAACAAAGTGTCTCGAAGTGAACCACACAACACAACAGGTGGTGTTTTTGTGCTCCCAGGTTGTCAAATACAGACGCTTTGGGTTGCCATAACATCTCTATTTAATGACCTGGGAATAAAACTCAACAATCAACCATTTTCCTCCTTAATGAGTGATCCCATCTTTAAGAAAACAAACAAATTAAGAAAATATGTTCATTTCACAACACATGCAGCATTTTTAACACAACCAGAACACTGTCTGTTTGTTTTATTAAAACATTGCAGTGTATTGAGCTCTCTGTAATTAGGTTCATGTGTTCAAACTGACAAAAGCACTGTATCAATCATATATCAAATAAAATGTATGTGAACGAACGTGGCTTGAAATAATTAAGAAAGGTTTTGATGCAGGGCCATATGGTTTTAGTGCTTTTTACATTTTATAGGTTATATTTCATCATCAATCACTGGACAACAGAAGGTATGGTTCTTACAGTGTTTGTTTTTATGTGTGTTTTTTAACAGGCAGGTTTTGTGGAGATAAAGTTCCTGATGTCTTGATCTCCACTGACAGCAGGATGTGGATTGAGTTCCGCAGCAGCAGCAACTGGGTGGGAAAAGGCTTTGCTGCCATTTATGAAGGTAACTTCTCTGCCTTACATAAAAAACAATCAAAGAGATAAACACACTGGAACTTGCATAATTCGTACACACACACATTTCAGGTGTTGTTGGTGCAGTTGATGCCAATCTGTCCTGTCTGTCTGTCTGTCTGTCTGTCTGTCTGTCTGTCTGTCTCGCTCTCCTGTGCAGCAATCTGTGGAGGGGAAATCACCAAGGACTCAGGACAGATTCAGTCTCCCAACTATCCTGATGACTACAGACCCTCCAAAGAGTGTGTGTGGAGGATCACTGTGTCCGAGGGATACAACGTTGGGCTCAGCTTCCAGGCCTTCGAGGTGACTCACTCCTTATGTGTGTGTGTGTGTGTCCCCCCCCCCCTTGTGCTTAGGAATGTCTGGGTCAAATTTCACGCTCGTATAGCTGCTAGGAAGTTAATAACGGTGATGGTGCGTGTTGTGTGTGTGTGTGTGTGTGTGTGTGTGTACAGAGACACAGAGCAGCTGAGGATTAGTTTCGTAGTTTGAACGCTGTAAAAATGTCAGTGGGCTAATTGACACAATCTGTCTCCAACCAGACTTTACATATGTAAGGTCAAAGGTCAGAGTTCACCTTCACACAGGAGCTAAGATCAACCTCTTTTAAAATCCAATTTTCTGTTCTATTTTGGTTCCGTTATATTCTGTTCTACTCTGTTATGTTCTATTCTATTCTGTTCTGTTCTGTTACATTCTGTTCTACTCTGTTCTGTTCTGTTCTGTTCCGTTCTATTCTATTCTGTTCTACTTTGTTCTGTTATATCTATTCCGGTCTTTTCAATACTGTTCAATGCCAATCTATTCTCTTTTATTCTATTCTCTATTCTATTATATTTGGTTCTACTCTGTTCTATTATGTTATATTCTGTAACATTCACTTCTATTTTGTTCTTTTTTATTCTGTTTTCATTTTATTATCCTGTGTGTCTACTTATTCTTGGACTCGAAAAGTAAAATTAAAAAATGTAATGGTGGTGACAAAAACTAAATGGTTTTTTTGGAGGAAATTTTCTGATGTGACACTTAGTAATGGATGATTTTCTCTTTAAAACCCTTATGGTAGAATCTGTTAATCTGTTAATCTGTAGCTGATCTGTCAGTGTTGGTTTGAGCTGCTGCAGGTCCACTGATGGTGTTAAAGGATAGAGGGGATTTTTTACTTCAACCTGGTTATTATTTCTGTAGTTTTGGAAATTAGATTTTTGGTGATGGTTTTATTTTATTCACATATTGATGAAATCTCGGGGCTGTAACATTCGTTCAATGGAGTACTTCAGAGCAACACGAGCAGTCAAACTATCAGACAAAGGAAGACATGTTGTGTTACACATAACACTAAACGTGTTGATGTCACAGAGATATTTGAAGGTTGACAGGATGGTTGTGGTGTATCTCACCGCGTACATGAATGTTTCTGCAGATCGAGAGGCACGACAGCTGCGCTTACGACTACCTGGAGGTCCGAGACGGCCCTCTGGAGACAAGCCCTCTGATTGGACGATTCTGCGGCTACGATAAACCTGAAGATGTGCGCTCCACCTCACACACACTGTGGATGAAGTTTGTCTCAGATGGGACGGTTAACAAGGCCGGCTTTGCTGCTAACTTTTTCAAAGGTGTGTGATTAACAGAGGCTCTTTGTGTGTGTGTGTGTGTGTGTGTGTGTGTGTGTGTCAGGTGATTGTGTTTTCTCACATGGCTTTTAACCAAAGCATTCTTTATGTGTGTGCAAACATGCTCTGACGTGTGTATTTTTCAGAGGAGGATGAGTGTGCGAAGCCAGACAATGGTGGATGTGAACAGAGGTGTGTAAACACTCTTGGCAGCTTCAAGTGTGCCTGTGACCCGGGCTACGAACTAGCTCCTGACAAGAAGAGCTGTGAAGGTAACTGTGTGTGTGTGTGTGTGTGTGTCTGTGACTTGGAATGATGAATTCATGTTTGTATGTGCATTCCTTTGTATGCCACTGTGTGTTTCTGTAGGATATGAGTCTAACTCATCAGAAAAAAAACATCCGAACAGCCTCTATCAACAGGAAAAAACATCTCTCTGACACAAATCCACATGCCCCGCTTTTCCAGTGCCACAAGTGCTGTGAAGGTCCTTTAATCCCGCAAAATAAATTAGCTAACCATTATGACCCACATACTGAAACAACTGAACAAACCACTTCAGAGAGGCAGAGAGAGAAAATTGCTACGCTAGAGGAATGTCCAAAAATGTGGTTTTGCTGTATATCCTTGAAGAGCAGCTCTTTTTATTTTGCATCCCCAGTGAGTTGATGTTTGGGAAAAGGATGCAGAAAGTGGATTTTCAAAGTCTACGTCGTTATATACAATTACAGTGACATTTTGGGTCCTTTTAGTAAGACATTTCACTGCGCTCACCACATAAAGGAGACATTGTTGCGGAAATGCTCGGTCACGTGAGGAAGTATAGTGAGTAATTAAGTTGTTATTTGAGGAAAACACGTGGTGAACTCTACAGGTGTCTTGCGAGTGACTTGCAATCAGTCACGTTAGCTACTTCCCCTTGAAATGAACAAACATCAGTAGTAATGACTTCCCGCACACATTTCACTTTTCCTTTGAGCTGAATCTGGTTCCTCTATGACAAATATTCCCATCGGCATCATCAGCGTAAGCCGTCTGCTGCTGCTGACGGACCTGTTTGTCCTCCACATTCCATCCTTAACTGCATCATATCCAAGTTATAACCCTCCTGACTAAAGTAAATGCCTGTATACAGCTGTGTTGATCAGAAATGTGGCAGTAAAATAGCCTCATTGCACAGAACCAGCCACTCAAACACAGCAGCTCTGTTTCTTTACATGTTGGGAAAATTGGATATTTGACGAGTTGCAGTTGGTGCAGCCTGGAACGAATTCACAACTTTAGGAAGCATTTGAAACATAAATTGTGGATTTACCACCACCTGCTTATGTGCAATGTGGTTTGGCAGGGTCAGGGAAATCAAGTTCAACTTTTTGTGTTGTTGTTGTGGCTTATAAAACATATATATCACTTCCTAGGCATGTGTGTATGTGTCTGTTTGTGTGTTACCAGCGGCGTGTGGGGGACTCCTCTCTAAGCTGAACGGTACCATCAGCACTCCTGGTTGGCCTAAAGAGTATCCACCCAACAAGAACTGTGTGTGGCAGGTGGTCGCTCCCACTCAGTACCGCATCTCCATGCAGTTTGAGGCCTTCGAGTTGGAGGGAAATGAGGTGAGTGTGTCTATGTGTTTAATAGCCACCTTGAAGACGGGTATTACAAGAGCCTTGTTCGTGTGTTTAGGTGTGTAAATACGACTATGTGGAGGTGCGGAGCGGCCTCTCATCCGACTCTAAGCTGCATGGTAAATACTGCGGCACAGAGGTCCCTGAAGTCATCACCTCTCAATACAACAACATGAGGATTGAGTTCAAGTCCGACAATACTGTCTCCAAGAAAGGCTTCAAGGCTCACTTCTTCTCAGGTAAGACGCGTGTGTTACATCTGTGTATGTGTGTGTGTGTGTTTGTCAGGGGTGGGCAGAGCAGAGCATTTTGTTTGAAACAAACTAATGAACAACAAGGTTAATTATGCTGCAGGAGCAGTTTGATAAGCTTCTAGTGTGGGTATTTCGATACTTACATTTCAGCATAGCAACTGGCTCACAGCTCGACTAACTGACATAAATCTAAGCTGCTCTAAACCTTGATATAGATTTTTGTAATAGGTAACCCGGTACTTTGCCGTTGTCTAGCGTTCGCCCACAGAATGTCTTCACTGGGCTGCGACAAATAATCGGTTTGCAGAGCTAAAGTTTTTCACCTGCAGGCTATTTAAACCCTGATATTATTTAGCCCACAACCTACCTCCAAAAAAGTGCTTTTAAAAGTAAATTGCCAACATTTTGTTAATTTTGTTTAATTAATTAAACCTACAATAGCCATCCATAGCAACTACTATGTGGTTAAAATGATTAAATTCATGTATTCATGTAATGATTGAAATACATTAAGACATGTAAAACACTTAGATAAGGTTAGAGAAAGATCATTTTCATGGTTAAATATCTAAAAAAGTTGGAAGTGGAAGATGAAATGCAAACCAGGGTCTCCACTCCTGATTTTTAGTCTTCTGCTCACCTCCGCTGTGTGTTAATTTGTATGTATGTTTGCTTGCGTGGTCAAGCATTTGTGGAAATATGAATATGTGTGTGTGCGCATACCCCTCTGTTTTATACTGCCTGTGTATATGTGTTGTGTTCGTCTGTCATGCTGTGTCTCCTGAGCCTCCACCGGCTCTCCGGCCTCCTGCACCCACCCTGCGCTCTGCCCTCTCTCCCTCAGACAGGCTGGCTCTGTGTCAAGAGCGTATGATTGTGTTTGAGTCATGCCAGGACATAAAGCGTGGCCGCTCTCCCTCTCGTGGCCATGTCAACAACAAGCTGGCAACCTCATCAAAGGTCAGAGGTAACATGACCTAACAATCGGCATCTCTGATTGGCTCCGGTCGACGGTGTAATAAGGGAATGGATCGATCATGTTTTAATGGCGTGGATCACTGTTTAATCCATTCTCCTCCAGAGGGAAACATGTGCTTTGTCCCAGTTCCATGTTACACCATACAAGGATGGGTGATAATACAGATATAACCTATATCAATTTTCAGCAGAAAAGTGATATTGTTGGACAAATTTCTGTGGTCCAAGTTAATTATTTAATGCAAGCTGCAGTTAAACAATAAAATAAAACACTATTATTGAATTGTGTTACTTTGTTTTCAACATATGAAGAGTTTGGTCTCATGTTAACAGTGGAACTCAGATCATTGCTCTGAAAATCTGTTTTTGTATTTGAAAACTTCCCTATTATTATTTTCAGAAAGTACAGAAGAAATTAATGAACTGTAATGTTTGTAGTAAAAGGAAATATTTAGTGATGTGCACTATTGGAAGTCAATCAAACTGAAACTTTGGGAAACTACAGCCAGTTTCAAATTTTGGAAACTTTTTTGGTGTTTAATATGTTCCAGAAAAGCCACAACTACCCACTATTTGTTTGACAAAATTAAATTAAATTAAATTAAATTAGCATGTCGTATGGAACTGGGACACCGCTATGATTCTCCAGTAAAAACACAACAAATATCCCCTACTCGCCGTTTCAGGGTTGAATTTGTTGGATTTCAACATTAGACAATAACAATTTTTAGGAAGTTGTCCTGAAGACAAGATCCAAATTTCTCTTTTCCTACTCCAATATTTAAATTAACTAAAAAGGGAAAACTGATCCTAAAGGCAACTTCAGTGTAACATTTTGGCTGCTTCCTTCTCCTTCAGAGGAAGTAAAACTGTCACCTGGATGAGCTCGTCAAAATTCAACTACCTGCAGAACACCTGGAACACGTAGTTAAATCGCAGCGTGGTTTATAATATCACTGACTCAGATATAGATAATGTGTGTGTGTGTGTGTGTTTAAAGTTGATGTGTGAGTGGCTCTTCTATTGTCAGAAGCTTCCAGGGATAGCTTTTGGTTGGCAAAGATCCAGCAGCTTTAGGGAGGTCCCTTCGGCCTCCCACACACTACTAATCCGTGTGAGTGTGCGCGTGTATGCGTGTGTATGCGTGCATGAGTGTGTGCATGTGGACATTGTGTGCTTGACCTGAAGAAAGCTACAATGAACACTGTGTAGCATCAACTGCAAAGCTTCTTAGCCTGTGATAGGGTGAGACTGAGCCCACAATAGCACCGTAATACCACATCAGACAGACAAACACACACACACACACACACACAGAGAGCAAGAGAGAGAGAGAGAGATAGAGAGAGAGAGAGGATTTAGTGGTTTCATTAAAAGCAGATCTAGTTTGATTCACAAGCTCTAGAGTTGAGGTGAGATGCAAGCTTCTGTGTCTAATCTCACATCTCTTTATAGGAATCTGTCTCTCACTCTCAGTCACAAATACTCTCTTCTCTATCTCCCACACTCTCCCTGTACATGCTCTGTCTTCCTGTGCGGCCATCAGAAAATCCCCACCTCTCTGTTTCTGTCTCTGACACCATCACTGTTGTCAACGTGGCAGTCCCACACAGAGTGAGTCTTCCTCGCTGCTTCCAACCTCCACCCCATGAGCCGCTCTGTTCCTCCAGTGTTCAGCTTCACTAAAAGGCCCTTTGTCATCACCCAGCCATACTGAGGAGAAGCCATGTGGTTAGAAGAAGCCCCAAATTAAAGGATGAGGGCGAGAAAACAACTTAGCTGTGATGTTGTTCAGTTTTTGTTTTAAGCCTACAGATATTTGAACCTTTTAACCTCCTAACAAGCAGCAGCCTGCCAGTGGGTCAGTCATTATTAACTCATGCTGTGCGGCCAAACGTTGCTCAAGTAGTACACAGAACTATATTTCAAGTTCATGTGGAGGTCCCTAATTTTCCAAAGAAAACAAATATGTCAAGTCGAATTTTAGAGGAAATGTGTATAAAACATTTGACAAGACATCTGGAAGTCTAGGTTGTGAATATTTAACTCACTGCAATCATCAAATAACACAGTATATATGATACTGGTAGCTTGCCCGGTTGAGCCCCATGTGCTAGGGCTGAAGTCCTTGCTGTGGAGGTCCAGGTTCGATTCCAGCCTGCGGCCTCTTGCTGCACGGGAGGGTGTGCTTCCTTGTCGAGTGTTAGATGAGAAGATGAATAACTGTCTCATGTCTCTACGTAAATATGAAGCTCCAGCCAGCAGTTGGCTTGCTTAGCTTAGCACAAAGAGTCTATGTCCAAAGGTAGCAAAATATGCACACAAGCACATCTAAAGCTCACCAATTAACACACATATCTTGTTTGTTTACTCCGCACAAAAATTTATACATGCTGGGAAATCCTAAAATAGTTCAACTGCCTTGTGTACCGAAAAATACAGTATAACCAGTTATGTTAATGAGGTCATTATTTGAGCCAAAAGATATTAATTAACCCCACAAAAAAAAAAAAAATCCAGAATAAGCAGCAAAACAAGGCATTATTATCTTTCCATTCTCTTTTCTGTTTGTATGGAAATTTATGGAGAAAAAATCTCTTCAAATTATTTATGGGGGGAATTTGTGGTCCACATTTAGGCGTCACCATAACAACCTAATGGCCCACATATCCTACCATGGACATAAAAATCCCATGACATGAGGCTTACAAGATCTAAACGTGATGACATACACTCTCATCACGTTTTACAGTTTCTCCTCAGTTGGCTGGCTGAACACATCAGACTGATATAACAGTGGCTTCTGGCTCCAAGGAGAGCACAGCTGATGTGAAAACAGCTGCTACGGTCACAGACGTTTCAGAGCCAAGGCCAGAGGTTGACCGCAGAGCGATCATAACCATCAACCCAAAGAGTAGCACAAAGACAGTTTTACAGGCCAACATAACCACACACAGACTTACACACACTAACTAACTTAACCCTTTGTAGTTGTCTGTTGTTGTTCTAAGTGCTAACTTTTGTTAATGGTTTCTTCATTCCTTCCTGTTCACTAACTCTTCTTGGAAATCTTTAGATGGCAGTTTTGCAGAACAGCTGGGCTGCAGGCAATATTTAAATCTCTGATGCTTCTACTTCATTCACTCTTTGCTAAGACCCACCCCTTAGTTACTGTTACTGCTACGCCTCTCAAGCTTTCTGTTGCAGCATTATATTGCAAACAAGATTTATTTATGCTTTATTGTTTGTTATAGTTTGGCACAAGTAACTCTAATGATCCAAAAAGTGCAAGAAAGCGCCACTAACACTGATAAGCAGTCGTATCCAGGACAGTGGATGTGTCCCCACAAAATACTGTATTTAGGTAATGGAATAGAAGTAATGCTCGTTTATGCAGTAAGATAGTGTAATAAATACTTTAACGTGACAATAATGAACACTATCTCGCAGTCTTACAGTTGTTCTGGGTGACCATGTTTGCCTAGCATGATTGCTGGATATGTATGTTCGTGTTTCTCTTTATTTGCCATCTGTCACCTTCTCTGTACCTTTTCTTTTGTTGAACTTGTTTGATTTGATTTCCGTCCAGTCCTTTCCTTTTATCACTGTTTCTCCTGTTGTCTGTCCCTCACCCTTTTCATATCATCTCCTTTTTATTTTTCAAAAAGGTCTCCTTCCCTTCCTTAAGGTCTAATTCTTCCACTCCTATCCCCTGCTCGACCTCTTGCTTCCCTCCACCTCCGTCCTTTTTGCTGTTTCCACATGAGTGATGTGTTGCATGTGTATCTCTCACAGACAAAGATGAGTGCAGCAAGGACAACGGCGGCTGCCAGCACGAGTGCATCAACACAGTGGGCTCTTACGTTTGTCAGTGTCGCCATGGCTTTGTACTGCATGAGAACAAACATGACTGTAAGGAAGGTGGGTTTCACGTACATTCACATCAGCACACACACTGGCATAAAAACATTGGACCGCACATGCACGTCCTGCCACATTCACACAAGCATGTGCTCATTCACAAGAACAACCATCGTCCATCATACAGCCCTTACTCAGTGTATCCACATCAGAGTCCACCTGACAGCAGAATGGCCCTTTCCATTTGAGGATATTTCTTTATTTTATATATTATATTTCCACACTTGAAGGCTGCAAGCAGAGCTGTAGACTTGAGACTTGAGACATGGGCACGTGTCACATAAGTTACAAAGGTGAAGACTTGAGGGCTGTGAGACTTGACTGACTTGAGAATATCAAATCTCAAGCTTTGACCTTTGATCCTGGAACAACAAAAAAACAGTATAAGAAACCGTTTCAAGCAGGAATTAATTATTCTAATTCCATTAATTAATCCTGTGCATTAAAATCACTTGCTGAAAAATATTAACATGTCTTAGAAGACAATTGCTTTGTCATTGTAATGCTCAGCATTCTGATGCCTAAACATTGTTTAGACTTGACTTGAAATTTGCTTATGATGACTTGTGCTTGCCCTTAAGGACTAGAGACTTAAAAGACTTGCGATTTACTTTGAAGAGTGGGACTTGTCTGAATCAAGACTCAAATTGTACTTGCTAGTCATCATAGCTCTGCTCACTGAGACTTGACTTGCACTAAAGGTCTTGAGTCTTATTCCAAAAGACTTGAGATTTACTCTTAAAGACTTGACACTTGACCTAGACTTGTCTCAAATAACTTGAGAGTCACACTGGACTGGTCCCAAAAGACTTGAAGACAGGTTGCGAGTCACCACAGCTCTGCTCACTGAGACTAGACTCGCACTAGTCTTAAATGACTTGCTTGAAAGGTGCAGAAATGCAGCACAAACAGACAGTTCAAGATAATTACTGCAGAAATACCCTATAAAGTTGTTAAGTTAGAAATCATATACAAACCTATAATACAGCATTTGTTTTTGTATCAAGATACTATTATTGTGTTCCAGGGGTTGAGACTCGAACTTGTCTCAAATGACTTCAAAACAGCTCTGCTTGGAAGTCACTAAGGGTGTGTTCACTGTGATGTGTGCTTGTGTTTGTATGTGAGAACAGAGACGGAAAAAAGGTTTCAGTTTGACAGAAAACAGTATTTATAAGTTGTTAGCACATTCCCATGTGCACACACACACGCACAGACACACACACACAGACACACAACTGTTGAATTGACATATTATACTCGGCTCTTTGAAGTTGAACTTTTGAACGTTTGCACACACACCACATCAATACACATATACACACCTCACTAAAGGCTCCCTGTGCTGCTCATAAAAACACTCATGTTTCAAACATCTGGGAGCTTGAAAGCTTCACATGTAGCGCGGTCTTCCTGTGTGTGTGTGTATGTGTGTGTTTATGTGTGCATTAGACCAGCTTGACCCAGTAACCTTGCCGAGTCATGTAAATCCATATTCCCATCACACAGCTTGTGTCCATGTGTGGTTATGATAACACACAAAGTATGTGTGTGTGAAAGTTTCAACATGTGGAGATGAACATTTGGCATGACACCTGTTGTTAACATGTTGGATTCATATAAACAACACCTTTTAGTAATAGCAGTCACCTGCCAGAGGTGTGTGAGTCTAAAGACATTAAACTTGTGGTCTCAGGGATCCTGTTTAATCTTTTCTGTTAAACTTGAAACTGTCATTAACTTAATTACTGGTAATATTATGATACTGTGGCATTGTAAACTATTACATTTCCTGTTATCTACAATAACTTGATAAATGTGAATAGATGTTTTTGCTGCCATGTCTTAAATCTGTATGATGTAAGTAGTTAGACTTTTTAACTGCACGAGGTGTGAGGGTCTTCTGTAACAATAGTGTGTGTGTGTGTGTGTGTGTGTGTGGAATATGACGTCTTGTATTTCATACTTTGCCTGTTAGAAAACTCACCTTTACATTTATATACATGGTTCTTGTAAAGTCATCCATCTCATTGTGTACATGGGTTCAGTTTGTCTGACTCTAAATAAAAAGTGTCACTCTGGAACACACCTTGTTGTCTTGTGCATGCCTCCTGCCTCTCATCACCTTCATTAAGCCACGGCATTCATCTAACCCAAACCATACACATACATGCGAATGCCATGTGTGGCTATGAAGGCTGCTGTAGGTAGATTTTGGTGCAGTTTTTAAGCGATTTAAAACTCTTCAGGAGGAAAGCAGTCGGTAAGAGTCCCAACTTCAACCAGAAAGAGTTGCTACAGTGTTAGTCTTCAGCTGATGTGTTGTCATGAAGTAGAGTATTAGAGTTATAGTTAGTTGCCCATCAGTGCCACTGAAACCAAGCTAATGAGTTGTATTTCAAAGTGTAAATATTGGATATTGGATGGTCTTGAGTATGATGTTGGTAATGCTCAGCTCTGAGGAATCTGGGAGTATCTAACAAAACAATAACAGAGCAGTTGGCTTCAGATGAAAAACAGCCTTTTGGCCTATTTATTAATGTGCATTGTCCCTGTTTGTGTCAGCCATCAGCATTCAATTGGTTGAGATCTGGTGACTGTGAAAGCATATGATTCACATCTTTTTCATACTCAGATTATTCAGTGAGTCCATGTACGATGTATCAAAGCATCTGAATTCGTTATGTTTTATCATTAAAGGTCCAACATTTAGGAGGATATATTGGCAGAAATTAAATGTAATATTTATACGTATGTTGCCATTAGTGTATACTCACCTGAATATATGAAACGAGCAGTTTTATCTAAAGACACCGCAGGTCGCTTTCCATGGAGTCTGCCATGTTGAACTGCCATGTTTGTACAGTAGCTCAGAAGGGACAAGCAGACACTGGCTCTAGACAGGGCCTTTTTATGTTTTTCATGAGTTTCATGACCACTGTAGTTTCTCCTGCAAACTTCACAGCCCGTTCTCATTCCCAAGTCGTCAAATAAAGATGCCACTAAGTCCTACACAGTGGTCCTTTAATTTATTCAGTGGTTTCCTTTAATTTGTCACCTGACTGTTGTTGCTCAAGTAATCCAGAATGAATCCTGAATCCTAAATGTGTATTGATTCAGAGAGCTAGAACAGAATTTAGAAGCTCAACATATAAATGTTTAGGATCCAGTCCTACATAACATGTTTTTATGAGCCATTCACTAAACATCCAATCACAGAGTGCCTATATTTAACAAAGCAGTGTTTGCAATGTGTACTGTGTTTAGTAGGAATGGTTAAAGACAGTCTGAATGTAACTATAAGCACGAAAAAATCATCTTGTCTCTACTTTTGGTCCATATGATGAATACAATAATGATGATCACATTTAAGGTTCAGATAACATCCAGAATAATTTAAACCTTATAGATTGTTTTGTCTTTTGGTTCTTTGTGTGCTATACTCCATCAATGCGTACAGTACAAGAGGTTTACCTTAGCAGTGTTTGTTTAAAGCATGCGTGCATGTGAAACTCACACTGAACTTGTCATCAGGATGTGTTTCTTTGAAATCCTTTCTCTCTCTTTTGGTTCTCTTGTTTCTCTCCTTCCTGTTCCCTTTCCATTTCCTCTGACCTTTTCCTGTGCAGCCATGATTTTAACTTCCTCTCTATGTGTGTGCTTGCGTGTGTGTGTCCAGCTGAGTGTGAGCATAAGATCCACAGCCCCAGTGGGACCCTAAGCAGCCCTAACTGGCCAGACAAGTATCCCAGCCGTAAGGAGTGCACCTGGGACATCACAGCCACGCCGGGACACCGAGTCAAAATAGTAAGTGTGCTGAAATCAAACACATTCTGGGGCTTGTGAAGCATTTGTCTTAGGCTTTTTAAACCCTTTAGCATGATTGGCCTTCTTCCCTTCCTCATAACAACACATTACTCTGTCTGTGGGGTCATATCGTATGTAAAAGCCCCAGGCTGCCCTCCCCCTTCTTGCTCGATGATCTCTATTTCCCATGTTCCACTTTTGAAACCCAAATGTAAATGGGGGAGAAAGTACACGTTTGTATATTTGGGCTAAATTCAAACGTGTGCTCATGCATTAGAAAGAGGCCTTGGGCAGTGGCCATCTGTGTCCTCCTGTCTTTTTGTGTGTGTGTATATATACGCCTGCGTTTAGCCTGCATGTGCCCACACATGCATGCATTTGTGCATGTAAGCATTTATGTGTCACCACAGATAGTGGAATACACATTTTTGAGTTAGTGAAGATTTACATATTTAGGAATATGGGACGCTGAAAAGGAGGCTGAAAAGTTCTAAGTTTGATTTGCATAGTTATTTGTCCAAAGAGAGAGGGAGAACCGAGAGGAGATAATCTCAATTTCTGTGTCAGTACATTAGCTCAGACAGATGGTGTTCGGCTAACAGTGTTAGCTTTGTTGCAAACAGGTTTCTCCTGACTCAGGTGCATTCACAGAAAATGCTTAGTGCCGTTTGCAAGCTCAACTTGCAGAGGTGAGAGTGTGGTCTAGACACACACACACACACACACACACACGCTTACAGTCACACAGCTTGCTTCAGATAATCCTCCTCCACTCATGCTTCTAAATAGTATCACACACACACAAACACAGTGCAGC